AGAACCCGAGTGTGCCTGCCTTCCTGGGAGAGTCTATGACTACTCCAAAACCCGAGTGTCCGCTTCCAAATAAACCCTATTTAAGACCGGCCACCCCCCCCCCCCCCCCCACCCCCCACCCCCCCCACCCCCCCCCCCCCCCACCCCCCCCCCCCCCCCCCCACCCCCCCCCCCCTCCCCCGGCGAGACCCCAGAAATCCCTTGAAGGGGATGACTACGTGCCTGCCCCTGCCCAAACCCGATCTGTCTTCGTCCAGCCTCATTCCCGACAATCGTCTTCTCGCAGCTCACAAGATCTGCGAGAGGTTTAGGGGGGGCAGTTGACATGGAAGGATAACTAAAGCAGGAGACACAGATGGAATGATATAACAAGGATCACAGGGCATTAGTCCAATCAGCCCTAAGGCGGCATCTGGCAACATTCCGAAGTGGATTCCGCGATCCATGTAGGGTCTTATTCAGAAGTTCGGGAGATATCCTATCCCCTAATTTCACAACCAAACGGCCCGCCTCGCGGAGCCGCGCCGCTGCTCGCCGCGTCTAAACCCCGATACAGGCATCGGGCAGGACTCATCCGACAAAGAAGCACACCCAACAAAAGCAGAAACGCAACACCGACCCTTCTAGCTACGCCAGATGCCGCCGATTAATTATCTGCACCATCACGGGCTCGATGAGCCGACCTGGACATTGACTCGCGACAAGCAATCTCTTCCTGTCGAAATTTCCTCGTCTTCATCCCAGTTCACAGCCTCACATGAGACCGTGTGACCAGTGACCGCATGCGGCCAAGCTGCTCACATAGTGACTTTGCTGGAGGTTCCTGGAACTGGTCGGCACATCGACCGCTTCCTTCACGGCAAGCACCACGGCGGCTTTGACTGCCCGAACGCAGCTATCATCCCAAAGACCAGCCGCCAGCAAACAACAATTGGCAACCGACCTCTTACGTTGCCGTGTGCCTGGTCCTGGACGAACCTTGACTCTGGCTGGATACTTCCGTGATCCGAGCTCTTGTCACGGCCGCTCCACTGATTGCCAATGTCCACAAGCTGCTTGCCACTTTCGAGGACGAGCCCGTGGTTCACGTTCTCTATTGTACACCGAACCGAAGCCTAGAAGATCACAAGAACTGCAGCAAACACACTATACTCAAAGTGGCGCAGCGCTAGCCGTGAATACAAGTGTAAGGTTCGGGGAGTACCCTACCGGGTCGCGCCGAACGACTTCTGTGTTCCACTCGAAGCGCACTCCGAACACGCAGCGCCTACGTAGCAGGTGTCGTTAAATCTCCAATCCAAAAGCGAACGCTGAATGCCTGCCAGGAGCAGATCCCGAATCCCGACAGAGACCGCCCGCCCAAAATGATCAAGCAGAATCAATGCAATGCGTCCGAAGCGCAGAAACACCAACTGGATCTCTTCGCGAACAGTGCATAAGAATAACCGACAGGACCACACTCAAAGCCCGCTCCGAACGTTCATAGCAACAGCTATCGGGCGGAGTCAAATATCCATTCCAAGTTCCTCGAAGAAGCCAAACCAAAGGCGAACACTGAATGCCTGCCAGGACCGGATTCCCAATCCCGACAGAAACGACCCACCCAAAATGATCAGGCAGAATCTAGGCAATGAGTGCGAAACGAAGAAGCGCAACCTCGAATCGGCAAGAGCCGAAGGCCCGGATGAAGCCCTCCTGGAACCCTACTTGAAGCCTTTAATATGCCCTGCACGCACAACGAAGCCAAAGTTCATACCTTCCAAGCAACTGCCCCGACCTGCTGGGAAACGCAGATGGCATACCAGACAAACACCTGTGAGTGTGCCGGGAGCAGCCCAGCCAAATGCAATGCGCTTGCTAGCTGCATACGATGCAAACAACGGGGTCTGCAGACTGAAAGTCGAGGCCCTGGATCACTTGCCCAAGACGAAAAAACCAAAGCTCCCGCAGGAACTGTGTCTGCCCGAAATGAACACCGCGAATACAACGAAGCCTCGCCGAAGACTGCAAGCCTCGAAAGTGATTCCACCAAGAAGCGTTTGCCGAAGAGGAGAAAGGACGTCGGACCCTGAAAGCCAGCATGAGACGACCAAAACCCCGAGTATCTAACACCGCGATCTTGCAATGTCAGAGCAGGTAAAACCCGAATCAAAAGTGCAATCCATACAGTAACGATCAGCAAATGAAATCGCAGTCAATGGAGTAGGTCCGTGAAGTCTCATGACGCAATGTCCTTGTTCAATAACGCGTCGGTCCAAAGGCAGTTTGTCAGAACTCATACCAATGTTCCTGATGACACGCAACGCGCCTCGCAATACGTGCGTGCAAGAATAAATGTAAGATCAGTCGACATCGAACAGCCGCAATCGAACAATTACATGAGCACAATGCTCCAAGGAATGCGCGCGAAAATTCATGAACTGTCACTCCAATCATTACAATCTCGGTCCCTCGGCTGGAGATGGTGACGCATGTGCACAATCCGTGGCAGCGCTCCTGGTACATGCACGTCTCTTAGTAGTTCTTGAACAATTTTCAAGCAGACGTTCAAAGCAGCATAATTCGTCAAAAGTCGTGACAACAGATCGCAACGCACGTGCTCAATGCAAGCTCGCCTTCTTTGCACAGTTAGTGTTATCGCCACCACCGGGCCCAAATCGGCCGATACGTACAACGCAATGTATTAGGATGCACTCTATTACAATGAGTCGTGGAAGCAAGTCGCATATCGGGGGCAGAGGTAAGGAAACTAAGCAGACATCTGCACGTTGCAATTATTCCGTGGCTTACTGGTCCTACAAGAGCTTCGGGACTAGCAGTACCGCTTGCTTTCAATCTCGCATCTTGCGAGTTCTGCCTCCTTCCAGAACGAAACCTGAAGCAAGGACACAAACTGAAGTCCTTACGTCCCTTCCCAAACGCCAGCTGCAAAGAAACCCACAGGGGCGGCTTCGGGATGGGGGTAAGAAGATTCCGAAACTGCCAGCACCACCTCCCGCATCGGCCGTCCCTGCCTCGACGAATCGAGCACTGGCCCAGGGCTCGTCGTGCCCAGGAAAGCCTTTCCAACACAGGTGAATCACGACGAGGAAACCGCGAGAAGTGGTTCACAGCGATTTTGCGTCGCACAACGGCCTCCCTTGAAAATCGACGTGACAGTCCTGAGCCGCACATCCGAAACTGCGGTCGATCCAAGACAGAGAAGTAGCCGCAGCCTCGCACTTTGGCAAGACGGCGTCCATGCGGTGCTGCGGCCATGTCTCGTTCAGACAGGCATCTCCATGCGGATGGCACAGTATCTGGATCCGAGGGCGCAAGCTCGATAGATCGTCACGTGTCGTCCACTGAAATAACGCTGTTTGGCGAGACTCCGGAAGTCCACTGAAGGAGGTGACTACGGGCCTCCGCGACGACGGCCTCCACTTGCTGTTCCAAAAAAGGCAGGAGCCCTTCCAAGAGTTGTTGAGCACGCAGCACGGCATTTGGCGTGTGCTCTGTCTCAGTCGCGTTTCTCTTCGCTTGCCGTGGAACCGTCTCTTCGAAGAGCTGTGCCTGCCCCGCCTGACAAGCTTCCTCGGGCAGACTAGGCTGCCGCGGGTTGGACACCTCCGATGGCTCGGGAAGACATGGAGGCAAAGGCGGCAGCGGCAGTCTCGAGCCCGACTCGGCCACCGACTTCTCGTATTGTGCAACCAACGCCGTGTCTGTGCTGTTGTGCCCAGAACTCGAGGCACGACGCCGCTTGCAACTTTTCCGTCGATCGCCGCTGCAGTGCTCGCCCTCTTGTATCCAGCGCAGCAGTAAGTCCAAATAACCACAGCCTCGATGGACGGCGAGCCGTCCGGCGTGGATGCTCTGAGTAAAATTGCAGAGGGAATCTTCGCAAAGAGCTAAATGAGCATCGTCCATTGCAGCCAGCGCATGGGCGACGCATGCCGCGCTTTCTTCCATCACCGGCGTTATCGAGGGCACGTGCTTCCAGCGGCGCAAAAAAGCTCTGGCTTCTCGCAAAAGCTTGTCCGCGCGACATATCTCGGCGAACAGCACATCCAAGCTCAGTCGCTCGTGATGCTCGACGAGACAGTTCAACACTTCTCGAACTTCCCCCAGAAAGTTGCGCTCATAAACTCCGCCCGGCTCCTGAGAGGCCGTGATAGGATTGCTTTCATGATTCGATGCCAGGCTGCCCTTGAGCTTGTTGTGAAAGAAGCAAGCCCTGTAAACGAGATCGGTAAGCTCTTCGTTTGACTGGACAAGAGACTGTTGCAGCAGAGCAGACAAGGTTCTCTGCAGCAGCTCGACGTTTTGCAATGGCCGGCCTCCTTCGCAAGGAAGCAGCAATGCCCGATCTCCGCCACCCAGAGAAGTCGTCTCGGCAGCCTCCATCGCTGGGAGTTCCACGGCCCAGCAGCACCCCGAGCTTTCGCAAGACAGCGTCCAGTCGGCGATGCCGCGGAGACCAGCAAAAGGGAAATGCAAATCGAGCCCAGGCTAGGTAACGAAAACAGCAGAATTGGAAGCAACCTCGGAGCGGAGAACATCGGCAAGCCAACCGACTTCAATGCCCCCCCCCCTTCAGAGCGATTCTCTTGCTGAGGACAAGACCGATAGACCTCGCGGTGCGAGTCGAGACAGCCTAAGCAGCAACAGCAGCCATGCCAAGCCCTGCAAACCACGATCTGAATCTGGACCCGGACCCCGATGAGAGCAAAGTTCGGCAAGTGCGTTGTAGCATTTGAAGTGAAAGAAATCATTTTGTTTTGGCACAAGCGCAAGCACCACCGCAAAAGATCAGCGCCTCGGGAATGAATGGCCCCAGCCCCGCACTTTCGCAAGACAGCGTCCATGCGATGCCGCGGCCACCCTACGCGAAGCTCAGCGAGCGTTCCTCCACGGCCGCCACATCCAAGTACTGCCTCGTCCAAGCCGCTGGCTAAGCCACGTGGTGGCCGAAGCCCCGCACTTTCGCAAGACAGCGTCCATGCGGTTCCGCGGCCAGCCTACATCTGCGAGGCAGCGGCAACACTTTCCTGCGCAAACGTTGCTCGATGCAAACGCACGTAGGCACTCAGATAGCGCATGTGCGTAAATGCAAGGGACGTCGCTTGTGCAGCCACGGCTTGGATTTCCTCGTCCGACATCCAAAAACCCCACCACTCCAAGCAATGGCTCCAATGCTCCGTCTTCTTGTGAGGCGAGATGTTATCGTAAGAGCACGCTCTGACCCTCAGGAAAGCAACAAGGCCCCTGGCCACATTGTGCAGCTCGGCCGGCACAAAGCCAAAGTCCTGCTCCTCTGCAGCAGCTGTCGGCTGTACAAAGCACTTCTCCTCGATGAAGTCCTCCAGCTGGAGAACCATGCCATGCTGGGCAAACTTGAACATGCCTCCATCGGTTTTGCTGGATTGCTTTCGCGGCTTCGTTGGAGCATGCCGCTCCCTGCATCCGGCCGGTCGCTGCCCTGTTTCGTTGCAGCGCTCCAGCGGCAGAAGTTGGTGCAGGTTCCGCAGCAATGCCTTCCGCAGATCAAACCAATGCAGAAGACACACGAGCGAGGAAAACAAAACGAACAAAGTAATGTACAGCTTCGAACACTTTCATACTTAGCAAAGCGACCGTCAATGGCTTGTGCCGGTAGCTGGGAATGTCTCGCATCCTCTTGTTCGGTTGCTGGTCGCCATAAGTGATCCCTTCGGCTTCGCGCTCTTCTCGCGGGGCTTTTCGTCCAGTTTAGTCGTCTTTCGATTGACCCGTCCATGTGTGTCTAGATCATGGATAGGCTTGTTGTAAAAGCCCCTCTGGTCAGCGACGACGGTCACGTCATTCATCGCCTTCTCCAGGGTTTCCAACGTCAACTTAGGTGCCTCTGCACGCTTTTGAGTCTTGCCAACCACAATCTCGTGCCAGTCCTGCAAAGACTTGGGCCAGCTGTCCCGATTCATTTGATCCCAGTAGACCCGCGCGAGGGAAGCGTTGACATGCATGCCCCGACGCACTCTGTGACGCTCCGCATATTTGTCGGTGGGCGTCCATGCGGTACTGCAGACAAGCTCAACCCGAAGAAGCCCGTGCTTGCGCTCGCCCTCCTTAAGCATGTGAGAGACATGCCGTGGTGTCGCCGCCAAAACGTGCGCTTGCACGTGTTGAACCGATTCAATCACCTCGACGTCCTTCTCCTTCACGGTGCACAAGAGCTCTATCGCAGTATCGCCTTCTTCCTTGGGCAGCATCTGGAACATCACCAGTGCACTGCGACCAAGCAACCCCACGCACACGGTGGGTCCCCATGAGCTTAATTCTCGCGATGCATCCATGCGTTGCCTGAGCTCAGCGGCCAGCAAGACACCGCACCTTTGAGTTGCCGAGGTCCGGACATCTTGGCACACTCCGACTCTTCAGTAGGCGGTTCATTCCTGACCGTCGGATATGTTAGCCGTCGACGAGACAGCGCCAGTGCCACGACCCGAGGCCCGCCTCGTGACTCGAGAACCGGACTTCTCGGCAGGCTCCGACTCTTCCCGCGGCGACTCTTTCCACGTCTCC